TTCTCCCTCTGTCACTCAGGCTAGAGTGCAGTGGCATGATCTTGGCTCTCTGTAACCTCTGCCTCCTAGACTCAAGCCATCCTCCCACCACAGCCTTCAGAGTAGCTGGAACTACAGGCGTATACCACCACACCCAGCTAACTTTTTCTAATTTTTTGTAGAGACAGGGTTTTGCCATGTTGCCCAGGCTGGTCTCCAACTCCTGAGCTTAAGCAATCTACGCACCTCAGCCTCTCAAAGTTCTGGAATTACAGGCAATGAGCCACCGCGCCCAGCCCATTTTTCCTATCAAGTTACTTTTGATTTGTTGGACAGAGTTAGACATATGTGTTATACGTACACGTGTCCATGTACAGTCCTGTGTTATGTGCTGAACAACAGAGGTGTGTTCTGAGAAGTGGACGTGTGTAGACATCATGAGGGGGCTTACTCAAGCTTAGCTTGTACTGCCTGCTGCACACCTAGGCTGTAGGGTACAGCCTGTCGCTTTTGGACCATAAAAGCCTGTCCGGCACATTACTGTGCTGAATACTGTATGTGACTGTAAAACGGTGGTGGATAAATGTGCATCTAAACTTTAACCTAAACACAGAAAAGGTACAGTAGAAATATTATATACTGTTAATTTCTATACTTAATATAGTTATGAGGGAAGATCTCAGCATTGCTGGGGACCTGAAGAAGGCAAGAGAGTGAGCCATGTGGGAAGAACTTTCTAGGCAGAGAGAACAGCCAGTGCCGAGGCCCTGACGACACCAAGTGTTGGTGGTGATGGGGACACAGGAGCACCATGCTGGGCATTACAGTTCAATGGGACCACTGTCACATATGTGGCCCAGACTTGACCAAAACAGCATTATGTGGCACGTGACACACACACACACATACAAATATACACACACAACAGTATGTGTTTCTTGCTCTCAGAGGCTTGCCTTTTCAATGATCTCTTTAGTGTCTTGATTTAGAAAATACCTTTCCTACCTCAAGGTCACAGAGATTTTCTCCTGTGTTATCATTAAATAGCTTTATTTTCCTATCCGTAGTTAGAACTACAGTTTACTGAGAGTCAATGTTTTGTAAAAAAAAAAAAAAAAAAAAAAAAATGTAGTTTCATTTTTTTTCTATATGAATATCCAATTGATCCTGGGCTATTTCTTCCGAAGACCGTCCCTTCCCCACTGTGTGCAGTGCCATCTTTGTGGCCAGTGAGCGGCCTTCTAGCCGTGAGTCACTTTCTAGATTCTCTGTTTGATCAGGTTGGTCTTTCTGCATTGATAACAAATTGTCTTAATAACTCTAAATGTATAAACAAGGGTTGACATCTATAACTTCAGCATTTCGTTGTTCAGACTTGTTTTGCTATTCAGGGCCCTTTGCATTTTCATATGAGTTTTTTAGTAAATTAGACAAATTGTTTAAGAACCCCTGCTGGAATTTTTGATGGGATTATAGTGAAGCTATAGATCGATATGGGAATACTGGTATCTCTACCATAGCAAGTCTGCTAAGAACATGTATTTGGGACTTACTTAATTTCTCCCAGTATTGTTCTATAATGTTCTGAGTAGAGGCACTGTATATCTCTCGTTAGATATATATCTACTTTAAACAAAATGAAGGTGTGTGTGGTATTGTGATTGAGTATGGTGTTTTGGTTATCTCTTGCTGTGCCACAAGCCACCTCAAAAGGTAATTGCTTAAAACAGCAACAGTTGATCATTCCTTGGGATTCCATGGGTGTTTTTGTTTCTGCTGGTCTTGCCTAGACCCTGTTCTGTGGTGCAGTGCAGCTGGAGAAGCCCAGTTGTAACCGAATGCACGCATGGTTATTGCCACTTGCAAAGCTGAGAACAGGATGAAAGGAAAGTGACTTTATCCCAAAAGCTTTCTTCCCCATTCCATGGGGAAGAAACCATTTCAGCTTTTTGGGTCAAGGGTCAGGGCTTAAAAAGGGGAGTTCGGTGGGAGGGGCAGGCAGGAGGGATGAGGAGGTGCCAATCTACGTGACTTATTCCGACAGCTATCTTGAGTTATTGCCCCATCTGGTGAATGGGCTGCTGCCATCTTGGGTACAGCCCGGTTGCAAATCAACTGCGGCTTGGAAGTAATCTCCAGGTCGGGGAGAATCCCATAGTGGCCTGAATTGTCTGAAGATTTAGTCTCTGGAACTTCTAAACAAACACATAATTAGAGAAGGGAAACATTGTGCCAGGTAGAAGGGAGAGAGCAAAGACTATTATCTCATGCTAAAGGCAAGACAAGGAACAGCCATGAACAGGAAAGAAGAAATACTTTTAAAAATAGGACACTCGGTTACATAATGGTCTAAATGACGTCACTCTTCTGTTTGGAATTTTGATGCTGGCTGCTGAGCCTCTCCTGTCATCCCCAGTCGGTGGTGTGGGCTGAGCTCTGTCTGTGCAGGGAGATCATTAGAGTGGGGACCATGGCAGGAAGTGCCAGCCTCTGAAGCCGGAGCTCCAGGACTCAGTGTCACTTCTGCTGCATTCCATTGTTCAAAGCAAGTCACAAAAGGAGTTCATATTTGAGGGGGTGGACAGATAGTCTCTGTCCCTTGACGGAAGGCTCAGCCGCCCATATTATGGCACAAAAGGGCATGTTGGTGCCGGGGGAGATTGCGTTGCATCTGTCTTTGAGAAGATGCACCACGTATGCTGTTACTTTAATTCCGTTTGTTTTTGGAGAATAGAAATGAAACTGATGTATGTCTGTTTCAGCTTATATCCAGCTGCTGTATAAATCCAGTTAGTCTGTTAACTTTACATTCTTTTGAGTTTTCTACATGTAGAATCACATCATTTGAAAAATAAGATAACTTGGGATTTTTTCCCAATCTTCCTGTTATTTCTTTTTTCTGATTGCACTGGCTGAGACTTCCAGTGAAACTATGAAGTGATGATGGCCGCGCTCTTTGTTATTTCTTATCTCTGAGGGAACATTTTCATTATTTCACATATGAGGTTGAATGCAGGTTGTTTGTGGTGATTAGCTTCCTTGCTGTTTCCAGGCTGCTAAGTTTTGTTAGTTTCTTTTTAAATCATGAATAAATGCTGAATTTCGTCATATGACTTTTCTGTTAATATGGTGCATTACGTTGACTGACTTTTGAATGTTAGACCAACCTTACTTCCTTGACTGAACTCTAGTTGCTTATACCAAATCTCTTGATTCTGTCTGCTAATGTTTTGTTCTGGATTTTTTATTGTATATTAGTGAGGCAGATTGGCCTTTAATCTTCATCTTTCTTTCTTTCTTTTCTTTTTTTAATTTAAGACAGAGCCTCTCTCTGTTGCCCAGGCTGGAGTGCAGTGGTGCGATCTCGGCTCACTGCAACCTCTGATTCCCTGCCTCAGCCTCCAGAGTAGCTAGGATTACAGGCACCTGCCACCACACCTGGCTAATTTGGTATTTTTAGTAGAGACAGGGTTTCAGCATTTGGCCAGGGTGGTCTTGAACTCCTGACCTCATGATCCACCCGCCTTGGCCTCCCAAAGTGCTGGGATTACAGACTGAGCCACTGAGCCCGGCCTAATCTTCATTTTTCAAAATGTCCTTGTCAGATTTTCATATGGTGACTACACTTCCTTCATAAGACACAATGGGGATTAGCCCCTTTTTTGCTTTTCCGGAAGCGTTTATTTAAGGCTGGTGTTACTTCTTCTTTCAATTTTAGGTGGAATTCACTAGTGCAGTCATCTCAGCCTGGAGTTTTCTGGGAGGGAAAGTTTGGAATCCCAGATTCAGAAGCTCCTGGAATTATTCCAACTTTGTGATTTTTCTTGCACCAGTTTTTCTTGGTTGTGTTTTTCTAGGAATTTGGCCATTTTCTCTGTTTTTCAAATGTAGTGGGAAATGTTGTATATAGTATTCTCTTTTAGTGTTTTTCATATCTTCAGGGAAGTGCTTTGCTATTGTTCATACTTTTGAGAGAGCACCAGAAAGCTGGTTTGGGAGTCCCGAGAGAGGCTGGAGCCCAGGGCAGGGACTGGGCAGGCTGGCACCGACAGGGAAAGCAAGCGAAAAGGAAGAAGCAAGTTCATCTCCTCTCCTCACTTTTCAGGCTCCCTCCATTGCCTCTTACTGGAAGATCCCAATAGAAGACCATCTAACGAAAGAAAACCACAGCTTAAAGAGCACCCCCCTGACTTAGCGCCAGGGAGCAGTGGATTCGAAATTGAGAAAACATAGCTTAATCACCAGCACACCTTCCTACCTAAATATTTTCATCTCATCCCACCTAATGCCCTGAAGGAGCTCATGTTTCTTTTCGCTCTTGTCACCCCTGTCTTCTTCTCATTCCTGGAGTATGCCGAGATGGTTTGGGGCTAGGATCTAACTAAAATTTTCCTTATTTCATTTCGAGAATCCTTAAGAACAGTTGTGTTATGACTTCCATTCCCTTTATCATTGTGCTATCACAATGTAAAAATCAGTACTGTGAGATTCATTCTCACTGTTGATCACTGCACTCCGTCTTCTCCCTTGGGTTCTTATTTTGATCAGGCTCTTTGGTGAGTGAATCCTAGAGTATTCGCAGAGCTCATGCAGGGAAGCTGCAGGCCCAATCATCGATTTCTCTGTAGAAATTGATGCCTGGTAGAGGATTCTTCATCAGTTCTTTCTTCTCCCTAGGCACTACATCTTAGCCCATGATCTACTGCTTTCCATGACTACAGGCGAGAAATGTGATGTGAGACTGGCCCTCCCGCCTGCCTGCCCTCCCTTCTTTCCTTTCCTTCCCCTCCCTCCCTCCCTGCCTCGCCCCTCCCTCCCTCCTTTCCTTCCATTCTTTCTTTCTTTTCTTTCATTCTCTCTCTCTCCCTCCCTCCCTTCTTTCTCTTTCTCCCTTTTTTCTTTCTTTTCTTTGACAGAGTGATATTAAACTGACTCCCTCCCTCCCTCCCTTCCTTCCATCCTTCCCTCCTTCCTTTCCCTCCTTCCTTCCTTCCTTCCTTCCCTCCCATCCTTCCCTCCTTCCTTTCCTTCCTTCCTTCTTTTGAGACAGTCTTTCTCTGTCACCTAGGCTGGAGTGCAATGGCAAAATCTCGACTCATTGCAATCTCTGCCTCCTGGGTGCAAGCAATTCTCCTGCCTCAGCCTTCTGAGTAGCTTGGATTATAGGCACGCACCACCACACCCAGCTAATTTTTGTATTTTTAGTAGAGATGGGGTTTCACCATATTGGCCAGGCTGGTCTCGAACTCCTGACCTCAAGTGATCTGCCCGCCTCAGCCTCCCGGTGCTGAGATTACAGGCGTGAGCCATCATCCCTGACCCCTAGACTGGTTATTTCTAAAAGCAACTTGTTCTTCCTGTCTGGAAGGTTTTATGATTTTTCTCTCTATTCTGGAAATTCAGAAACTTTGCGAGGATGTGTCTGAATGCAGCGTTTTCAGAACGCTTTCAATCTTAAGACTTGGTTGGTTTTGTTTCTTTGGCATTTCTTTGTTTATTCTCTGTCATACTTTCGTTTTCTCCCCCAACTCCTATTATTTATCTAGGATGCCGCCTCCTGCATCCACCCTCCATGTCTTCCTGATGAACTCGTGATTCTTGGTTCATTAACGTTTTATCTGTGTTGTGAGATACACCTTTCATTTCATCTTCCTAACATAGTAACTTGGGTTTCAGTGGGGCTGTTCTCTTATACAGTACCTCTACTAAATTTGTAAATGAAAAAGTCAAGCATTTGGAGTTTCTCTTAGGATCTGGGAACAACAAAACAAAAAAATCAAGCATTTTTCTGTTCAGGCAGCGTTTTTCTGTGCTCTACTAATATCTCCTCATGTGTTCTCATTATTTGTATTATATAGTCTATTTCAACTTCTATCATTAGTTCTGCTCCATAGTAGCCATCTGTTCGAGAATTTGGCTGTCTCCTTCCTTCAAACCACTGTCCCTCTTAGGTGGCACATGAGTTTGCTGTGCTGCATCATTGTGGCGGGTGCAGAGTTTCCCCGGTGCTGGTTTGGGCCCAGCTGCGGGCTATGATAGCAGGCTATGATAACCCTCTCTGCCCCCACCCACACCAGGCCGTGGTGGATTGATAGAGATGGGGCAAGGCATGATGGCTCGTGCCTGTAATCCCAGCTACTGGAGAGGCTGAGGCAGGAGAAGCGCTTGAGCCCAGAAGCTTGAGGTTATAGGGAGCTATGCTTACACCATTCTACTCTAGCCTGGATGACAGAGCAAGACTCTGTCTCAAAAAAAAAAAGGGCGAGATAGAGGCAGATAGGGTGGGATTGTTTTCTGTCCACGGTTGCACTGGCATACTGCAATGTCTCTTCTCCTCATGGTGAGGGTGGGGATAATCTTCTGAGAGTCAAGTGGAGCCGAATTATCCTCAGTACCACCTTGCAACTTCCCTTTCAAGTGGACAAGACATGCTCCCTCTGATCTGCTCCAGAGCCCCCAGATCAGCCAGTGGACCCTACTCTGGCCTGGGATAGCTGCTCCTCACTGTGGGGTCTGCCAGAGATACCCGTCTCCAGACTGCCTAACCTTTGGTCCATAGATTCTTGCTGGACTCTGGTCTTTGGTCTGTACTCCCTGTGCTGAGTACGGGCCTCTGTCATAGGCCACGGGGACCAACAGTGTGTCAACCTCTGGACACACCCTGATACCAGGCATCAACAGTGACCACTGGAGGCAAGAGAACATCTGGCTGGTTGGTCTGAGGCTTTCAAAGCTCATCTGTCCCCTGGCCATCACCATATTGAGACCATTTGTAGCCAAGAAGCGGTTAGAGGGCAGATTTGGGTGTGCTGCAGGAGTCCAGGCAGCAAGAACAGACGGGTACGCCTGAAGTCCTCTAGAGGCTTGGGTTATAACTTCCTGTCTTCAAGCAAACAGGACCAAGATCGTCACACGCAGTGTGGTCTCAAGAGTCAAGGATCAGCGACAGGCAATGTGACAGGCATCTAAAATACTGAAGTCATGAGATGTGTGGAGAAGAGGTAACTTGCTGGAAACAAGGAACAATGTGAAGAGTGGTGGGGAGCTTGTGATAACGGCTGAGGTCCAGTGTGCAGTGGGAGAAAACTCCTTGATGGATACTCTCAGTGGACCACTGGCTGAGGACAGGCATCATTCAAGTTAGGATGAGGTATTAGTCCGATTTTGTGCTGCTGATAAAGACATACCTGAGACTGGGTGATTTATAAAGAAAAAGAGGTTTAATGGACTCAGTTTCATGTGGCTGGGGAGGCCCCACAATCATGGCAGAAGGCAAAAGGCATGTCTTACATGGCAGCAGACAAGAGAGAATGAGAACCAAGTGAAAGCGGTTTCCCTTATGAAATCATCAGCTCTCCTGAGACTTATTCACTAGTATGAGAACAGTATGCGGGAAGCCTTCCGTATGATTCACTTATCTCCCATGGGGTCCCTCCCACAATACATGGGAATTATGGGAGCTACAAGTCAAGATGAGATTTGGGTGGGGACACAGCCAAACCGTATCACATGATGTCCATGACATATCAGGATACATCTTCATAACTTCCAAACAAATCCTGTCTTTCTAACCTACAGACTTTAGCTATCTGGGCAAACCATAGACCTTCCCCCTTTCTCAGGTCCCAGGTAACATCTCACTATCTCTTTGCCCTAGAGAGATAGGAAGATTACCAACCTGTCGTCTCCCATTCTTGAGCTGTAGTCTACCCAAACTTGAGCAGCATTTCAAGCTCACATTCAGATGTCTGTAGATCTCAGAGACAGGTGCAGTGGGTTGGCATGGCCTCACTAGGTAAAGTCTGTTCCTCTTGTTGGGACTTCCTAGTCTACACATGTCAGCTGGGAAGCTTTGGAGTGGCTTTTGGCTGCAAGTGATATAAAATCAGTTCACACAAGCTTAAACAATGAAGGACGTTATTACATCAAATGGCAAGTCCAGAGGGGGGCTGCCGCAGGGTTAGCTGGTTCAGTAGCCTAGCAAAGTCAGGGACGCAGAATCTTTCCCCCTTTCCCCTCTGCCGGTTTCAATGTGTTGATGCGGTGGCTTAGCTCTACTCAGTCATGAGACTGTTGCCACTGCTTGAGGCGGTCCGTGCAGATCCCCGGTATGGGGTTCGATAGAACTGGAAAGTTTTCCTGCTTTTTTTCCTATAAACTTCTTTTTAAGGGCAAGTAAACATTTTTTAGATGCCCCCAAAAATACCCCTTGCAACTCACTGACCAGAGCTGGGTCACATGTCCACTCTTAAGCCAGTCACTTACTATTTAACCTCCATTCTAATAGGCTGCATCATTTATTTATACATTTAGAAAATACCCTTGAGTAAGACTACGCAAGTAAAACTGTGAATGGATAATAAATTACAATGAGTTCAGCAGAATTTCTATAAAGTACATCTAATAATCATACCTAGGCACTAAGGATTAAGCATAACAGCGTATTGACGTTACTGTGTGAAATTTCCCAATACACAGCTTTTAAATTTCCAGAAGAATAACCATGCTGAATTAGGCAATTTGCTTAGAGGTAAATGTGAAAGGAAAAGAAATGCATGAGTAGAACCACTTGGATAATGATAAACAATTGAACAGCTCAAGAAAATTTCACGGATATGTTTTTAATGACTGGTTGAATCCTAGGAAGCACGTAATTAGTTAATGTTTGCTTTCCCAGCCACTTCTCAAACATGTGGGATTAATAAAGTCTTTAAAAAAAAAAAAGTACTGCATCTCAAAAAGGATGCCCTAGTTTATCCCGGCAGAGGAAGGGATGGTGTTGCCAACTTCTGGAGCAGCAGACCATCAGAAAACCAAGCTCCTCTCCCTTTCATGCTTTATTGCCCTTCCCATGGTGGTTCCCTGGCTTCTGGAAGCAAAGCTGCAACCAGGCCAGCTGAGATCTCACCAGGCAGCAGGTTCCCTCTCTGCTCTCTTCCTTTTCAAAGAATGTGACTCTCACCTCTGTGGGTGGGCGTTAGTTAGCTGGTCTTTCTCCCCCCGTCCCCCGCCCCCCCCGTCCCCCAGCCCAGAGCCTCATTGTATCAGGCTGGAGTGCATGGTGTGATCTTGGCTCACTGCAGCCTCTGCCTCCTGGATTTGAGTGATTCTCTTGCCTCAGCCTCCTGAGTAGCTGGGACTACAGGCGCGCACTACCACGCCCAGCTAATCTGTGTATTTTTAGTAGAGATGGGGTTTCACCATTGTTGGTCAGGGTGGTGTCAATATCCTGACCTTGTGATCTCCCCATCTCGGCCTCCCAAAGTGCTGGGATTACAGGTGTGAGCCACTGTGCCCGGCCTGGTCTGTCTTTCATAACCCAGGTGCTGACATGTGTCTGCCAGGTAACATCTTGGTATTTATAAGGTTCCTATTTTTTCCTGATGTTACAGAATCCATTCTGTCTTCCCCATATCCTGCCTCTTCCTTCCCCAAGCCTTCTTTGTACCTCCTTCTGTCCAACTGAGATTAAGCTTATTTCCTGGAATGCCATTCTTCGATATTTTCCCTGTTCAAGGCTTTTGACAGCTCCACATAGCCGTCAAGGCGCGTCATGCAGACTCAAGGAAAGCAGCTGGGGAGAAAACGGAAGTTTCCTTTAACATGGGATTTCTGGGGCTCCCTCTCAGGGCCAGGGACTGTGTAGTAAATGAGTTGCTCAGCCTCTCCTAGTGGAGTTTGCACTGTGCTGAGCATGATTTACACGTTTTCAGAGAACTGGAGTAGGGAGAGGTCTTTTAATGATCTGACAGAAGGGAACGTGGTAGATGGAGACCTTTGTATCTAATCATGGTGCTTCAGGATCACGTGCATACATAACTTAGTGGGTTACTGGGAAATGCAGATACATACAAATGGAAATGTGAGAATTCTAGGGGAGCACAGCCTTTACTCATTTAACAGCTTTACATACTAAGGAAAGCAATTTTCACATTTCTTCAATACCTTTCTTTTCTTTGGTCCAGGTGAGCAAAAGAAAGTCTAGGTGAGAAATTGGTTGCCCATGTACAAAGGACATACCACCTGACTTTCTTGCTCCCTTCAGGTAGAAAGATACTACATCAGTTCTCATCTTGATACAAAGTTTGTGAAAATCATTTTTTCGAGGAGTAATAAATTTACTTGTCCACATTAACAACCCACGTACGTGGATCAGTAGATGTAATTTTAAGATGTCAGTGCTACCCAAATTGATCTAAAGACTCCAAACAAGCCCTATGAAAATCTCAACTGAATTTTTAACAGGAATTGACAAGGCGATTCTAGAAGTCATAGGGAGACAGAAGGGACCCAGAATAGCCACAGTAATCCTGAAAAATAAGAAAACTGGAGGACTTACACGTTCTCATTTCAAAACGAACGCTGCAGTGTAGCAGTGGCTCACATAGAGCTATGTTGTGATGGGCTGCAGTGTCTCCCCGGAATTCAAAAGACTCAACCTCAGACTCATCAACTGTGTGTGAAAACAAGTTCTTTAAAAGTTAAAATGAGGCCTTTATAGTGGGGCCCTGATCCAATAGGACTGGTGTCCTTACAGCAAGTAAAATGAGGAAGAGGTACGACGGATGTCTGTGCCCAGAGAAGGGCCCGCTGAGAACACCGTGGGGACGTGGTCATCTGCAGGCCATGGAGAGAAGCCTCAGCAGGAAGCAACATGCCGACTCCTTGATCTCTTGGACTTGGAGCCTCCAGAACTGTGAGGAATCGCTTTGCTGTTGAAGCCGCCCAGTCTGTGGCCTTCTGCCATGGCAGCCCCGGGACACCAGTGCACACATAGAGCAGTGGATCAGAACTGAGGCTCCAGAAATGAACTCATACATCTGCGGTCAACCGATTTGCAGAAAAGAGGCCAAAGATACCCAGTGGGATAACCGGAATAGGGTATGTGGGTCACGTTGTTGGGAGTCACTGGAAAAGTATGAGGCTGGCAGGAAGCAAGAGGCCCAGCAGGTTTTGCTTTTATGGCCACGGTGCGTCAGAGGGCACACTGTCTACGTGCCTGTTGAAGTGCTATGAAGGGCCTCTCGGAGCCCAGGCCTCATGGGAGGCAAACGGCTGGCTCTCCCAACCTCGAGGCCTGGCACCACTTGTGCTGCCTGTGAGGCTCCCCTGAAGAACAGCAGCCTGGGACAGGACTATTCTCAGAAAGGGGACAGCTGTGGACCTTCTCAAAGGGGAGACACAGGCTTCTGCCCACAGACCCCACAAGTACCACACAGTCCTTGCTTTTCCCAGGCCTGAGGAAGGGGCAAGCCCTCTTCTCCATATGAAGTTGCTAAGCTCTCACTTGCATCTCAGAGAGGGAGGAACCCTGTACTGGCGCTCTCTCCTGCAGATCTTGGCGAACCCATGGCCTCTGATTCCCCTCCAGCCCTGAAAGTATGCTTGCTCTGGTTATTAGTCCAAGGGAGGGAGCTGCGGTGGGGTGGGGGTGGGACCAGAGAGGCAGGGCCTGTGTAAACCCGTGTAAACCCGTGTCCCCAGCATTCCTGCAGTCACCCGTTCCTCTCTCAGCGGTGGTTAGCTCCCTCAAGACCGCCAGTTATGATTATATATAGGGTCTTTCTTGTCTGCCTTGAATATTTTTATTTTTTTCTCTACTGTTATTTTTTTCCATTTTGACATGTTCAGTTTTCTCATAGCCTATCTGCCTCGTCCCTTTCTGGGTATTAGCTTTGTCAGCTCTCCTTGTGGACATACCTCTGTCCTGCGCGTATCTCTCTACTTTAGGCTAAAGTGTAGCCTACAAGAATGAGGTTTCTGTTGTCTGTCATCTTGCTTGGGATAGCAGGTGGGGAAATGCTTTGAGTTAAATATGAAGAAGACAGCTACTTTAGAGTAGCATCTGTTTTGAGGCAGGGGTTCCGAAACCCCAGGCTGTGGACCAGTTCCAGTCTGTGGACTGTTAGGAACCTGGTCACAGCACAGGAGGTGAGTGGCGGAGGAGTGAGCATCACCACCTGAGCTCCACCTCCTGTCAGATAAGCGGCAGCGTTAGATTCTCATAGAGATGTGAGCCCTACTCTGAACTGCGCAGGTGGGGATCCTGAAACCGTCTTCCCGACCCCACAGCTCCTTTGGAAAAATTGCCTTTCATGAAACTGGTCCATAGTACCGCTACTTTAAATTATATTCCTGTGGCCAAAATGGTGAAACCTCATCTCTACTAAGAATACAAAAATTAGCTGCGTGTGGTGGTGCATGCCTGTAGTCCCAGCTATTAGGGAGGCCTAAGCAGGAGAATCACTTGAACCCGGGAGGCGGAGGTTGCAGTGAGCCGAGATCGCGCCACTGCACTCCAGCCTGGTGACAGAATGAGACTCCATCTCAAAATACATATATATATTCCAAGTTGTATAAAACTCCTTTCTGCAAAGGTAAATCACCAGATTAACTCATTTTTACTTTTTTTTTTTAAAATGGAGTCTCGCTTTGTTGCCCAGCCTGGACTGGAGTGTAGTGGCATGATCTTGGCTCACTGCAACCTCTGCCTCCCAGGTTCAAGCGATTCCTGCCTCAGTCTCCCAAGTAGCTGGGATTACAGGCAACAACCACCAGGCCGGCTAAGTTTTGTATTTTTAGTAGAGCTGCGGTTTTGCGATGTTGGCCAGGCTGGTCTGGAACTTCTGACCTCAAGTGATCCACCGCCTCAGTCTCCCAAAGTGCTGAGGTTATAGGCGTGAGCAACTGCGCCCAGCCTCTATGTACTTTCCATTTGGACAAGGACAGTTCTTCATAACTTGTCTCTCCCTTACCCTTGTTGCCACCAACTGAAATGAGCACATTGCCCAGCAACAGAACACCGGGAAGAAACAACAAAGATGGCACAGGGTCTTTGCTTCACCTCTCGTGACATTCAAGACTCCTCATTGGTAATAGTAATCTCCCCTGGCTCCATGGCTTTAAACAAAGTCTCATTTCTTAACTACCTTTTCCCCCGAATAATAGGTTTAGCTACTGATTTAGCCAGACCTTGTTCACCTTCAAGTGAAGGAACCAACTGAAAGCAGATTAGGCCAAAGGAGATGCTCTAGGAATTCATGATCTCCAGGATTCTGATCCTGAATTCAGCATCCATGGATTCAGATGGCAACATTAAGACTGTTTCCCATCTCTTAGATCTTTTTTGAGTTGGCTTCACCCTGAGGCGGTTTTTTCTGAAGCAAGGGCATGCGTGGCTAGGTTTCCATCACCCCTCGGCTTGTTAGCTCAGGGGAGTGAGAATCTGTCTGAATGTCCTGAAAGGATGCTGACTGAACTTCTGAACCAGTCACTGTGTCTGGCCTGAATCTTGGGCACTCAGGAAAGGAAGGCAGAGCCTTATACCAAAGTCTCTTAAAAATGGGAATAGGCTCTTCCTAAAGGGAAAGGATACAGAACACAGGGGTAAGAAACCAAGCAAACAAAGAGAATCTCAGTTACCACTATGAAGACCTTGGATGTTTGTAATTTTATAACTTAACAGGCCTTAATGATTTCCATAGGGGCCCTGGAAAACTGAAAGATGTGAGTCTAGAAAAGAGTCTAACACCAGGCTTCTGGGCCAAATGGCTGCAATGCTTGGTAAGCACCATCTTATCAAGGCCCACCTCTCCACCCGCTTCCACCAGCCAAGGAAATCTCTGATGCTGTTTCATCAGAATTTCATTTATGAGGGACAAAGTGTTATGAGGTAGTCTACCATGTGCTCTAAGAAGGAGGGATCTTTGCTGTGAATGAATATATATAACTTGTAAATATGCAGACACAAGGAACTTTACTGCAACCATTAAGATGTCTGGATTGCTTTTCCTGCTGTCAACCCACCAGCACAGTATCTGCCCTCCGACTCTTTTGCTCACATTGGCCCACTGTCTTCCACTGGAAAAGATAGAGAATGGCTCGTATGTGATGGCTGCATGCTTTGATCATTGCCTTTCTTCCTAAAAAGTCCTCACCTGCTTTTAGCACTGTGTTGCTGTCAGAAAATTAAAGCCTTTTTCTGGTTCAGAAGAAATACCATGAACGAAGAGGAGAATCTAGTAGATAATAAAGATGATTAGAGTTTCTTGGCAGGCATTTGCTATTGAGGAGATGAAATAAAACATTTAATTACTACAAACAGCTAAAGAGCAATGGGTAGTAGGCATTTCCTTGTTCTTTGCACTTGAAATCTTAGGTAGCTTTGTTTTTGCCTCAAAGAATTTTGATTTTTTCTTTTGGGTCTAGTAATGAAAGCATGAAGGCCATTAACATAAAGTGTTTGGAAATGTTTTTCTTTTTTAACCACTTCTATTACTTCACTGCCTGAACAGAAAGTCATAAATGCCATATTCAAATCACACTGAATTTATTGAACATGGGAATGTACATAGCTGCTAAGGCACAGTGTCACTTGGAAGTTAAACTTCATTGAAAATATATTTTTCATTCATCTCCCAAGCAAGAAAATCAGGATTGATTTTATTTTTAAAAGCAAATTAACTTTAATAGCACCTTGATATGTATATATTTCTTTCCAGCCCTTCTGATTTTTGCGTACATGTATTTCACTGCAGTGAACATCTTTCTCATCGTTCTACTGGAGGATGGCAGAATATGCTGCCCAAAATATGCCACTTTGGCATGAGGATTACTTTGAGCTAAAGGCACTTGAAAAATAGCAGATGCAAGAAGGGCATTTGAATTTCCTCTTTTCTTCCTGAAAACAGGAGATAAAAACTCCCATGTGAAAAATGGCTTCACTGTACCAAGAGGAAAGAAACATTACTCAAAAAAGAGTCAAAGCCAAGTGCATTGTGTACCAACAACTTTGTTAAAATAATTTTCTCCCTTTATCCTCCCACATAATCTACTTTTCCACAGTTACCTCTCTTTGTTCAAGCAAATATAAAAGCATTCAGGTTTTGCCACTTCTTTGGGTCTTCATTTCCCGAATGAGGGCTCCTATGTCATGTAGAACTTTTATGAAATTTGAATGCTTTTCTCCTGTTAATCTGTTTCATGTCAATTTAAGTCTCAGGTCCATCTGGGACTTTGAGGGTGGAAGTAAGGTTTTGCCTCCCCTACAGTATACACAACTATGTGTAGTCCTCAAATATTTTCCTTATCAGAAATCCTGGAACGAAGCAAACTGTTATCAACTACCCTGCCAGGCCCTGTGCTAGGTACTTGGTAAACGCATCTCCCTTAATCCCTTGATGCCAGGATTAGCACTCATTTTGCTGACTTGGAGCTCTATCAGTAGCTTTCCCAGCGTCATACAGGTTTCGATCTTAGTTCATCGGATCCCAGAGCCCTTACTTTTTCAAGGACACCATCTCTCTGTTTGCTCTGAATCAGTATTCAGTTAAGAGCCCAGTCTCTGGAGGCAGATTGGCTGTGTTCAGATCCCAGATCTATCACTCACTTGCTGTAGAACCTGAAAACGTAAGAATCTTCCCCTGTGCCTGTTTATTTGTGAGAAGAGAAACATAGTAAGGGCACATGCCTCCTCGGTTCCTTGTGGGGAATAAGTGAAGTAACACCTGTAAGCCACCTGGAATAAGGTCTGACCCACCATTCACTCTGTGTAACAGGACCCCCTTCTCTGTGGAGGATGTGTTTCAAGACCCTCAGTGGAGGCCTGAAATCGTGGACAGCCCCAAACCCTAAATACACAATGTTTTCCCCAAATATAGACACATACTGTATTAGTCAGGGTTCTCTGGAGGACAGAATTAATAGGATAGATGTATCTATGAAGGTGAGTTTATTAAGGAGGATTGACTCACATGATCACAAGGTGAAGCCCGACAGTAGGCCATCTGCAAGCTGAGGAGCTAGGAAGCCAGTCTGAGTCCCCAAACCTCAAAAGTCAGGAAGCCAACAGTGCAGCCTTCCGTCTGTGGCTGAAGGCCCTTGACCCTGGCAAACCACTGATAGAAGTCCAAGAGTCCAGAAGCTGAAGAGCTTGGAGTCCAATGTTCAAGGGCAGGAAGCATCCGGCATGGGAGAAAGATAAGACCAGAAGACTCAGCAAGTCAAGACCTTCCACATTCTTCTGCCTGCTTTATTCCAGCTAATCCGGCAGCTGATTAGATGGTGCCCACCCAGATTGAGGGCGGGTCTGACTTCCCCAGTCCACTGACTCAAATGTTAATCTCCTTTTCAACACCCTCACAGACACACCCAGGAACAATACTTTGCCTTCATCAATCCAGTCAAGTTGACACTTAGTATTAATCAGCACACACACCTATGATAAAGTTTAATTTAGGCCAGGAGCGGTGGCTCATGCCTGTAATCCCAGCACTTTGGGAGGCCGAGGAGGGCAGATCACAAGGTCAAGAGATCAAGACAATCTTGGCCAACATGGTGAAACTCTGTCTCTACTAAAAATACAAAAATTAGCTAGGTGTGGTGGTGCCTGCCTGTAATCCCAGCTACTCAGGAGACTGACACAGGAGAATTGCTTGAATTCAGGAGGCAGAGGTGGCAGTGAGCAGAGATTACATCACTGCACTCTAGCCTGGTGACAGAGCAAGATTCCATCTCAAAAAAAAAAAAAAAAAAAAAAAAAAAAAGGCGTGGTGGCACTCACCTGTAATCCTAGCTACTTGGGAGACTGAGGTGGGAGGATTGCTTGAACTCTGGAGGCAGAGGTTGTAGTGAGCCAAGGTGGTGACACTGCACTCCAGCCTGGGAGACAGAATGAGATTCCATCTCAAAAAAAAAGTTTAATTTATTAATTAGTTACAGTAGAGATTAACAATAATGAATGAGAAATAAAATGAAATCTTAAGCTCTCCAGCTGACTGGACAGGCCCCCCACCCTTGGCCAAGAGGACCCCAGAATAACCTTGAAAACCTTCTTCCCCTCTAACTGCCAATAGGCTTTCTTCCCTGAGAGCTAAACAGAAATCAGCCCTTTCAAAAGACTCTACCTCTGGTATCACGACCTGATGCTGCCCCTCCTTTTGCAGTTTTGGCACAACTGATGGGTCATTCTTCTTGATAAAAGACCACCGACCATGGAGTAGTTGTGGCCAGTCTATGGAAGATGTGCGGTCAGGGTTTTCATGTCCCCTGCGTCACCTTTTTATGTCACAGGGCCGAAAACTCCTACCCTGGATCATGCGAACACTGCCAATTTTGGAACATGGGTCCCATGGAGAGGCATGAAGTGCAATTGCGCATGTGCACCTTTCTCTTTGCATAAATATTCATGACTCCTCCTACAGCTTATTAAATCTGTATATTTGGCCACCCCACTCTGCATAGACTCCTGCTGCTTTTTCCCCTCCCTTGAAGTGTCTGTTTCTGGCTTCTGGCCTGAGGTTGTGCTTCCTAGCCTGCTGGAGTGGCAGCCCTGCAGACTGCAACCCTTTATGAGAATTAAAGCTCTTCTCTCCAACTTTACGAACCTCAGCATCCTTCAGTTGACACTAACAGTAAAGTACAGCAGTTATAACAATATGGTATAAGTTATATTGTGGTTTGTCTCCAAAAATGTCTTAATCTTTTTGGAGTGTGGTTGACTGTGGGTAACTGAAACCGTAGAAAGTGAAACTGCAGATACGGAGAGGGAGCAGGAACTACTATAGAATCATTGGCTGTTGTCAGTCCTGTTTATTGGTAAGAATGTTAGTATTGCCATCACCACAGTTTCTCCCCAAACATCCATGGCTTCCAGTATCAATCCAGGGTGGAATGTCCGTCTGGATGACTTCCCCATGCAGTGCCTAAACTTCATTCTAATGTTATTTTATGGCTGCATTTTCTCACCTCTCTGGACAGAGCGTAGAGAGGCGTTTTGAGACTTTAAAAACTCACATCCCTTCTCCACTATTTGGAGTAATGACAGTCTGCTATCTAGGTAGGAGTGCTGCTGAAGGACACTGCTGATTTTCACAGTCACAGGGCCTGACTGGCTGCTGCTTGGTAATGTAAGAGAATGAATACCTTAGCAAGAAGCAGCACTGAAAAACCAGCCCAACTGTGGACAGTAGCTTTTATCTAATTTTCCACTTCCCCCTTATATCTTGGCCACTGTACTTTTTTGACTCAATTTTTTCAAAATTCTAGATGGCAGGAAGCTTTTATGAACCTAAGTCCAAATTTTAATTTGCACGGAAACTGAACCAGATGAATTTTCTCATTTTAAAAAAAAAAAAAAAAAAAAAAAATGAATGCCTTGATAATATATTTGTTGTTCATAGTAGGCCTCTGTCATTAAGATTGATGCCTGAGGATGTAGTTGGATCTCGTGTGGAGCAGTAAGTTATTACTCTTTGCATACCAGATTCTAGCATACTTGCATTAGTTCATGGAATATGATTTTGCATTTAGTATTGCAGTTCCAGTGCCATTATCAGATTGCATTTTCCTACTGAATCACAAACAAAAGTGTTATGCTACTAACATTTAACAAAATTTTAATAAGGTTGTGTTTGATGCTATTATTCAGATAATGTGTTCTTTGAATATATTTGAAATTGCTTTCCTTTGAATATATTTGCATTAAAGAGGAAATCAATTTGATTTGGTTCTTTGAAGAGTTTATCCACTTTCTGGGTAGCTTTAAAAAGACAGGGAAATTCAGTTTCTTCTTTGCAAGTCAATAAATAGAGAAGAAACACATTTGCTAAGATCTGTAGAAGTACTGGCAGCAGACTGCTGATGGTTTCAGTTAATGAAATGACTCATTTTGGCTGCTTGAGTTGCACAATTAAAATACAGAGACTGCACACATCACAGATTATGAGGGATGGTACCCTAGTGTTCTCTTTTCTTTAAAGCTAATATATTACGAATTAAGAAATTTAAGAGATCCACATTATTGCAATTTTTGATGAGTCATGCCCCCAATTAAATGGTAATCTCTTGAGCGTGCACGTTTCTGTTTGCAGCATTCCTCTTGCCCATTTCTGTTAAAATTGTGGTTGTGAGCCCAAAGCAGTGGTTTTATCTTTTCGAAAAGATACACTCACTTGACAAACTACAACATTACTTAATATTGACACGTTTCGTGTTGTTTTCTCATAGTTGTCTAGCTAGAGTTTAATGCAAAATATATAAATACGGAAATAGTGAAACCGAAGTCCTGCTTGCGAGGAAAGCCTGCCGCAGACTTTGGTTTTTAACAGACTCCCCGGGGCATTAGGGAAAGTAACTGGGGGTAATAGGTTGGAGGGTATGAAATTGGGCGGAGGGACGAAAACTAAGAACCCTTGGGGCTTTTTATGTCCTCCCACATTTTGTGTAGAAATAAATGCTTTTACTTTACTTCCAAAGCCGTACCTTCCTCTTCACCTTTTTTATTTCCCCCCCCCTCACATATTGATCTTTGAGATCTTGACAAATGCTCCCGATTTACAAACGCATCATACTGTCTGTAAAACTTGCCTGAGCCTGTGTGGTCCTGAATTTAGCCACACACTTGTTTAGGGATTTTGGTTCTCGTCCTCCGCTTGCATGGTTTGGTAAGAACACTTCACTCTACTAAAAATCATCGCCCGGACCAGCAAAGGCTGCACAAAAAAAAACGCTATTTGATTTTGTACCCGCGGCAGCCGCGCAGGCGCACCGTCCAGCCGCCGCGACGCAAGGCGCAGGCTTAGTGACGCAGCGCGCAGCCTCCGCCGTCGCCGCGCGCCCCTCCTGTGGCCCCGCCCAGGGCCTGGCGTCCGCTTGTTGCGTCGACCCACATTCCCGCCGCGGCTGCTTGCGGGCCGGAGTGTTTGCCGGCTGGAGTCTGCGCCGGAGCCCGCCGCCGGTAACATGTTGCAAAAGCCGAGGAGCCGGGGCCGCTCTAGCGGCCACGCCGAGAGGGTCAGAGACTCGAGCCAAGGCGGAGACGCCCGGGCCCCCAGAGACTGCGTTGCCGAGGAGACCCCGAGCACGTCCCGCGGGTCGGGCGGCTCGCAGGGGGCGCGGAGCTCCTCGCCTCAGGGCGCCCGCGGTTCTCTGGCCGCCCCCGCCGTGGGGCCCCGGACCCAGAAGCAGCTGGAGCTGAAAGTGTCCGAGCTGGTGCAGTTCTTGCTGATTAAGGACCAGAAGAAGATTCCGATCAAGCGGGCCGACATACTGAAGCACGTCGTCGGGGACTACAAGGACATCTTCCCCGACCTCCTCAAACTGGCCGCCGAGCGCCTCCAGTACGTCTTCGGGTACAAGCTGGTGGAACTTGAACCCAAGAGCAACACTTACATCCTCATCAACACCCTGGAGCCCGTGGAGGAGGATGCCGAGGTGAGGGGCGACCAAGGCACGCCCACCACGGGCCTCCTGATGATCGTCTTGGGGCTCATCTTTATGAGGGGCAACACCATCAAGGAGACTGAAGTCTGGGACTTTCTGCGGCGGCTAGGGGTCTTTCCTACCAAGAAGCATTTGGTTTTCGGAGATCCAAAGAAACTCATCACTGAGGACTTCGTGCGACAGCGTTACCTGGAGTACCGGCGGATACCTCACACCGACCCCGTGGACTACGAATTCCAGTGGGGCCCACGAACCAACCTGGAAACCAGCAAGATGAAAGTTCTTAAGTTTGTGGCCAAAGTCCATAACCAAGACCCCAAGGACTGGCCAGCACAGTACTGTGAGGCTTTGGCGGATGAGGAGAACAGGGCCAGACCTCAGCCGAGTGGCCCAGCCCCATCCTCTTGAAATCCGAGGTGGATTCAGAGGGAATCTCGGGACAAGAGTCTGAGACCCAAAGGCACATTGTAGAGGGATGGGGGAAGGGAGAACCCAGGGAGCATATTTCTGTAACGCTTCAATGTGTGTAGCTTTAGGATGTGTTTGCACAGTTTTGTTCTTTAACGTTGTGTTATTTGGTTCCAGATTTTCATTTATAAACAAAGGAGGATTTGTTTTGTTTTGATTTTACTGTTTTTGGTATGAAAAATTTTGTTAGCTTAGTAAAACGAGTTGGAAAACTTGACTATGATCTGGAAGAGATATGCAAGAAGAAACACAGTGAGTTGCTTTGCTGCCAAGAAAATAAAAGCAAGCTAGCTATTATTGGGTCTCATAACTACCCCAGTTTGTAAGGAAAAATAAAAGGTTTTATAAAATTAAAAATAACATAATTGCCCATATCCTTATTACCTTAACCTATTTATTTTTTTTATATTTCATACATATATAAGTATTATTCATGGTTCCAAGCAATGAACATGGTATGTTTTCTCCAGATAGCAATTATTTTTATTCGTAATTATTCAGCTTGGTTGCTAAACATGTAGTTCCACTTAGTTTTTTTTCTTCTTGCTACTCTATTATAATAAATGCTGTGTTTTTGAAACAGTTAAGCATTGTGTGTTTTTAAAATCGTGTTGTTTCACTTTTGTATGTGTGTACAGGATCATGAGGTAAAATGTATTTCTCACTCTGGCTCTCAAAAAAGCTTTTAAAGCAATAGCATAACCATTAACCGTGCCTGCTTGGAAATCGGACTGCCTGGGTTCAGATCCTGGCTACACCATAACTCTGACATGAATTTACGTAGGTTCCTTGCTGTATGCAGATGTTTCCTGACCTGTAAAGTGGGTTTAGTCCCTGATGTGGAGGATTTTACTTGTCAGTTTATTCTTTAATTTGTTAATTTGGTTTTTTTTTCCTCCTTGATCTGGAGCTGCCACTTTAATTATCCTTTTCTAAATCATTCCTATGGGAACAATTACTGGTTCAAAAGGTGTATTCCTCTAGTCTGACTCTATTATATGTATAGTTTTATGGGGAAATATAATGTGTGTGGTGAGTATAACCCACATTCAACAGTGGGAGCACGAGGGTGAGATATAAGATCTACCCCTTAGGGTATAGGAAATAGCTATAGGGAAAAGGATATGGGTCTTGGAGCTGTCTGGCAAACTGAATTTGAATTATGGCTCATGCTAACTTGTCAGCATGGTGATTGTGCGGGTAGGTTTTAAGCGCGGAATCTCAATTTCTTTATCTGTAAAATGAGAAAAATAATAGCCATCTAATAGTTTGTTTTATGGACTGAATGAACTGGAAGAGTTCATAGCCCCATCGTATTCCTCCACTACATAGAGCAGATGCTGTTTTATGCAGAGGTTCAGCATCTCTGAGCTCTTTTGTAAATGAACCCATTTCTTCCATGGGTAAATAAGTGTTAATTGTTTTAGAGGGAGGTGCTGCAAATGAGCCTTGGAATACGGCAAATACTTTTCACTGGAGGATAAAAGTGAACTTCCTCAACATCGAACTGAATGTCATTTAAAAGGCTCTCCAGTGAGTACGGAGGAATATGATAGGTTACTAGGTTTTATTTCATTCTGTTGACTTGGGATTTGCATTTGTTTCATCAGCGGAATATATTTGGTCCTTGTAGGCATTTCTTGTTGATCTGCATTTTATTTCAGTGTATAAATTAATTCCTACCTTCTAGTCCCCTTACCTTCCTGACTCAGCCTTCTCCTCTTTCTGCCCTCTGATACTCAAATTCTCACCCAACAGCCATCACCAGTTATATGAGGCAAAATCGCCCCGCTTTTCCCAGAGGTGTTAACCATTCACCATCGATCACCTTGTTTCAAATTGTGAAAGAGGAAACTTCAGAAACTGTATCAAGCCCTTATGTCTTTTTCCTTCTCACTCTCCCCAGAAGTAATAAAAGTCTGTGGATTTCGGGCTGTCGTTTGACTTTATAATTCTACTGCACATGTATATATACATAACCAGTGTAGAGTTTTGTGGGCTTTCATGATTTGGATAAGCAGTATTAGCTGTGTCCTTATGCAGCTTGCCGTTATCACGAACCCTTACGTGTTTGAGTTTCAACCATGTGGATATATGTAGACTTGATCGACTCATTTCCAGTTCTTTGAGATTTGCAGGCATTGGACAGTTCCTCTTTAGGCATATGTGTGAGTTTCTCCAGCCAGAATCAAATGGAGCAGTCAGGGACTTTTGTCAAGCTGCTCTTGAGCTTGTGTCAAGTTACACTCCCACCAACGTTTTTGTTTTGTTTCTTTGTTTTTGAGATGGAGTCTCATTCCGTAGCCCAGTTTGAAGTGCAGTGGCACAATCTCAGCTCACTGCAGCCTCCACCTCCCAGGTCTTGGTTCAAGCAATTCTACCTCAGCCTCCCAAGTAATGGGGATTACAAGCACAAGCCACCAATGCTCAGCTAATTTTTGTATTTTTTAGTAGAGATGGGTTTCACTGTGTTGGCCAGTCTGGTCTTGAACTCCTGACCTCGTGATCTGCCTGCCTCAGCCTCCCAAAGTGCTGGGATTACAGGCATGAGTCACGGCACCTGGCCTCCCACCAACATTTTATACAGTCTTGTCTTGTTTTTGTTTGCCAGCCCTCACACCTTCACCCCTTGTGAACACTTGGCCTTTTCAGTATCTTCTCAGCCATTCTGGTGCAGTGTGAAGTGGTAATTTATTATGGTAATAACTTGTACCTGTTGCTTATTAGTGATGTTAAGTGTCTGCTTAACTTTTGCCCTCACTGTTTTTTGACTGTCAGGTTTTATGTCTTAGACCTATTTCTGTTGATTCCTAAGACATCTGTATATGGTCTACGTCCCCTTCGTTGTGTGCTAGATCTATCTAGTGCAAACGGCTTCTCCCACGTTTTCACTTCTTTTGGTCATACGGATCATTTGACTTTAATTTGTAACAAACATCAGTGTTTATAAGAGCTATATTCGTGTCTAGTGCTTAAAAAAAAACCCGGCCGGGCGTGGTGGCTCACGCCTGTAATCCCAACACTTTGGGAGGCCGAGGCAGGTGGATCCCGAGGTCAAGAGATCAAGACCATCCTGGTCAACATGGTGAAACCCCGTCTCTACTAAAAATACAAAAAACTGGCTGGGCATGGTGGCGCGTGCCTGTAATCCCATCTACTCGGGAGGCTGAGGCAGGAGAATTGCCTGAACCCAGGAGGTGGAGGTTGCAGTGAGCCGAGATCGCGCCATTGCACTCCAGCCTGGGTAACAAGAGCGAAACTCCGTCTCAAAAAAACAAAACGACAAAACAAAAACCCAATCCTAAAATTGTAAAGATGTTTTCTATATTTTTTCCCTAAGTCTTTAAAATTTTCATCTTCACATTTTATGCTTTTAATCTTTTTTTGTATATAATGTGAGGTATGGAAATAATTTCTGTATTTTTCCCTATATGGATAGCCTAGCACCAGTTTTTCATCATTTACACTTAGCACACTGATTTCTGACACAGTCACTATTCTATGGCAGTGTCTCATGTATAGATAAATTTATGACGAGGACCGAATTGGTTTGTTGGCTCTTCATTCGCAGATATCATGCTCTTGTAATTCTCTAGCATCATTTGTCTGTCTCCTTCGCTAATTCTTAATGCCTTTTAATTTGGTCTTTTTTGTATTGGCTGGAAATGCAATATACTATTGAAAAGACGCAGCTCTAGCAGACTCTAAGGATGTTCTTGATTCCTTATTCTTGATTTTAAAAGAAATAATTTTTAAGTTTTGCCATAAAATGTGATGTTTGCTGTCAGAGTTTTTTCCCCCCACGAATAGCCTTTTATTAGGTTATTTAATTGCCCCTTCTAGTCCTAGCTTGCTCAGGATGTTTAGAAAAACTATGAATGACTTTGGATTTAGCATGTGCTCTTTATTCACCTGCTAATATGATTGAAATTTCTTATTTACTCTATAAATTTGGTTTTGGGGTGTATAATTTGGTGTAATAACATAGATATTCTGATATCTAAAGGTTTTTGCATTTTGGAGACAAGTACTTGTTGATAAAATTTTAAAATACATATAGCTCAAAATCTTTTGCATCTTTTGATATGGGGAGATTAGTCTTTAATTTTCCTATATTATTTTTGAAGTTATGCTAATTTATTTAGAGATAATCTCAAAATTACACCATCCTGCCCGTCTAATATTTTGTATTTTTAGTAGAGACAGGGTTTCACTGTGTTAGCCCGGATGATCTGGATCTCCTGACCTCGTGATCCGCCCGCCTCAGCCTCCCAGAGTGCTGGGGTTACAGGCGTGAGCCACCACACCTGGCAGGGAGTTCAATCTTTAACTCTCCCTGCCCTAGGCCTGGAATTAATCCTTTCCCTAAAGAGTTCTGTTTTCTTTTAGTGGAGAATGGAATTTAGAAACAGCGTTGCCAGGTGTGTTCATGCCTACTGGAAATATTGCTCCCAGCCCTCTGGGTGATGAAGTTATAGGATATCTCCCTATCAGTCATCTGTAGCACTGAAGACTATGAGATGACGTTACACTGCCATTTGCAGTATACCACCACCATGTTTATTCTGATTTGAGGAACTCAGCACCTATCATCTTCACCATATTTGCTTATTTGATAAATTCCTCTTGTAAATAACCCATCCACTATCCCAGCTGCCACGCCATCCCACATGGGTGCCCTTAGGTTCCCACCCAGGCTCCAGTGTCCTTGCAGTCACCCTCCACACAGTGCGAGAGCTCTAACCCCACTCGGGTGCCTTTGACCTCTTCAGGACACGTATCTTGTTCTGTCCCACTTCACAGCTATTGCACTGAATTGTTCAGGAAATAGAAAGCCGCCTGGTCTTATAAATGCCTTGGGAAACTGGCTTTTTGCCCTGTTATCCAAAGATTAGATATTCTTGAAAGTTTGGAACAAATCTGCCTGTGAAAGTCTGTGGGACTGGTGTTTCTTGTGGGTAGATTTTTACTGATATTTTTCTCAAGCTTATGTTCAGGTTTTTCGTTCTTTTGAAATTGGTTTTGTTCACTTGTATTTTCTATAACAAGTGAAAAATTACCAGAAGTGGAAAGTAGGGAGTTGCCCATGTGAAACCCATCTGGGGTTGTTAGCTGGTGCTTATCAAGGTCAGCACCTACCTTCCCACAGAAGCCCGGACACAAGGTGTCTTCAGGTGTTGGCTGGAACTAACAGTAAACTCTTTTGGCAGCCTTGAGTTTTCTCAGGCAGGCACTTTAGGGGGAGCTAGGGCCATCCTAGGGATGTGGCCTTGAGCTGTTAGAATCTGTGTTGATATTTTGTTCAAGTTTTCCTAGGCCAGGTAGAGGTCTAGGGGAGAAGAGGGCTCAGAGGAACCTGGCTTAGAGATTGGTTAAGGAGGAAATCTTTGAGAACTTGACATTTTGAATCTTGTAATGTGGCAACTCTGGAAATCAGAGTATCTTCCCTCAGGAGTGTCTGATACTGCTTTTTGAGAGCTGTAGCCGTCCAGTGACTTCCAAACTAATGTTGAGCAGATTGGAGTCCTTATTGTGTGTGATCACTAAAGTCTCTGTTCCATTATGTCCATGGTCAGCCAGTGACCTGATGGAGATTTCCTTCAATGCCAACCTCTTTCTTCATAGATTACCCCTCTGGATGCTACCAGTGTTCATCCAGCTTCCAGAGTTAGGAAATAGTTGATTCAAGGTTCTTACCCACTCGAAAAAGTTGTTTCATTGGCAGGACCAGTTTCTGGAACAATGGAATATTACTCAGCCTTGAGAAGGAAGGAAATTCTGACACCTGCTACAACATGGATGAATCTTGAAGACATTATGCTATAAGTGAAATCAGCCAGTCGCAAAAGGAAAAGAACTGTGTGATTCCCCATATGTCATATCTAGAGTAGTCAAATTTCAAGAGACAGAAACTAGAATGGTGGTGATTGCCAGGGGCTAAGAGGAGGGAGGATGAGGAATTGTTTAATGGGTATGGAGTTTCAGTTTAAGACACAACATTCTCTGGAAATGGATAGTGATGATCCTTCCACAACGATGTGAACATACTTAATGCCATTAAGCTGCACAAGTAAAAATGGTAATGAAGGGAAACTTCATGTTATCTATATTTTGCCACAGTTTAAAAAACAAATTAGAGCCGGACACGGTGGTACGTGCCTGTCACCCCAGCTACTCAGGAGGCTGAGGCAGGAGGATCGCTTGAGCCCAGGAGTTCTGGGCTGTAGTGCACTATGCCGATCGGGTGTACGCTCTAAGTTCTGCATCAATCTGGTGACCTCCCGGGAGTGAGGGACCACCAGGTTGCCTAAGGAGGGGAACCAGCCCAGCTTGGAAATGGAGCAGGTCAAAACTCCCGTGCTGATAAGTGGTGGGATCACGCCTGTGAAGAGCTGCTGGACTCCAGCCTGGGCAACATAGCGAGACACCATCTCTCAAAAAAAAAGAAAAAAGAAAATGCAAGTACATTTTTATTACGGGTATTTTACCACGCTTAAAAAAACCAATGGGCCAGGCATGATGGCTCACACCTGTAGTCCCGGCACTTTGGGAGGCCAAAGCGGGTGGATCACGAGGTCAAGAGATCGAGACCATCCTGGCCAACATGGTGAAACCCCGTCTCTACTAAAAATACAAAAATTAGCTGGGCGTGGTGACACATGCCTGTAATCCCAGCTACTCGGTAGGCTGAGGCAGGAGAATCACTTCAACCCGGGAGGCGGAGGTTGCTGTCAGTCAAGATCACACCACTGCACTCCAGCCTGGCAACAGGGTGAGACTCTGTCTCAAAAACAAAACAAAACAAAAAAATAAACATGCAAAAAGATCTTACCGTATCTTACCTCCTTGACGTTCAGCAACATCTGTGTTGTTCAGCCCTTACTAAGTGTCAAGCTAGTCTCTTCTTAGCTTCTGTGTAGGTTTGCTTTTGTAATGGTTTCAGCAATTATTTTTTGACCTCTGTTTCAAAGCTGTGTAGGCCAGTTTATTTACACACCATTTGAATGATATGGGACTGTTGTAACTTCTAATAGGAAAAATTTCAGTTGACCCTTTTTATGTGACCTAACTTTCCCATTGCTGAGATACTGCTAACATTATGAACTTGAAATATTTCCTAAATGAATAAAATACCCTCTTTTGAATTGTGTCTCCCGTATATATTTTTAAGGAAAATAAATTTAACTACATCTGGGGTGTAGATATTATAGTTACGGTAGAGAATGGTCATATCAGTTTTTTCCTAAATTTAATTTAGCCAAAACATTTTTAAGGCATTAACAGAAAAAGTAAGATCTTATCATTCTCATACGTCGTTAGTGGGAATGAAAAATAGCACCAGTCTCTGTCTCTGTATGTATTCTCATTCATAAAGAAAAAATGGCAGAGTGAGACTAGCACTGTTTGGAAATCCCAATAAATTAATGAGTCTGAGTCATCATTAAAAATGGCCACCAGCATCACAAAAAGAGAAATATTTGCCTTTCATTGATCTGAATTTGGTCAGACCTCTGTATTGAATCACCAAATTACAGGAAATACAGAGGCTAGAGAAACATGAAATGATAGGCTACAATCAGAAAGTTTAGGCCATAGGAAACTCTGTAGCACAAAGAACTGGTTTGTTCAGGAAATTTCGTGGAGAAAAACATGGATGGGAAATGCACAGACTACCTGAGATTCCTAACAGCCACTCGTGCCACGTGGACCCTCTCTGTGTCCTGAGGGGCCTGATTCAAAGTGTGAAAAAATTGAGACAGTTGGGGAAATGTGAACTCAGTATCTGATGATATTAATGAATTTTTATTTATTATAGATGTTATGAGTATTTTGGCTGTGTTTTCAGAAAGCTTCTCAATTTCTTTAAAAATTTCTAAGGGTAAGATTATATGATGTCTGGTATTAGCTGCACAGTAATCTGGATGGTAGGGGCTGCAAATGCAACACGGCTGTGAGTGGATTGAGCATTGGCATTGGATGATGGGCAATTATACTGTTTTCTTTGGTTTTGCATGTGTGTGACATTTTCTGTAATAAAAATTAAAACCTAGAGGCCTTCTAATAACTAGACTTCTTTCACTTAATTTCCTTTAATAATGTATATATAACTTGTTACTGTTAAGGGTATATAATGTATAATCTTTCAAGTTTAACTCCTTAAATATTTTATCATAATAGGTTTCAAACAAAATCATAGTAGCTTGCCATGGCTTCCTACAGACCTTACTTTTTCTATTTCAGATCATGTTAATTTGGAAGTTTGAGAGATAACCTACCACTTTGCTTTAAAACACATATATGTTCTTCACGTAATCGTGTGACCAACTGTTGTATAATAAACGAAAGCTGTGAACTCATTGTAAAGCTGAGTCATTTTTCCTTTGAGCCTCTCCAAGTGAATAATCCATTTTTTGTTTGGTTTGTTTCCAGATAACCTTTTTCATGCTGCTTTCTGCAGTGTGTGTGATGCTGAATTTGGCTGGTTCGATTCTCTCTTGTCAGAATGCTCAGCTAGTCAACTCTCTAGAAGGCTGCCAGTTGGTAAGTAATGAAACGCAGAGCCTTTCATAAAGGTCGGAGGATTTGATTTTGCGCAAGAGCAATTTTTAAAATAATTTTATTGTATTCTTGGTTCTCATGTACACTTTCAATTCATTCTAATGTTTTCTATTTGTTTAAGGTATTCAGGGTAAGCTGATTTATTTCTAGAAATTAGCTAACAGTTAGCTTACTGTTATATAAGTAGAACAATTAAAACTCGTTCTACGGCCGGGCACAGTGGCTCACGCCTGTAATCCCAGCACTTTGGGAGGCCAAGGCGGGTGGATCACGAGGTCAAGAGATCGAGACCATCCTGGTCAACATGGTGAAACCCCGTCTCTACTAAAAAATATACCAAAAATTAGCTGGGCATGGTGGCGCGTGCCTGTAATCCCAGCTACTCGGGAGGCTGAGGCAGGAGAATTGCCTGAACCCAGGAGGCGGAGGTTGCGGTGAGCCGAGATCGCGCCATTGCACTCCAGCCTGGGTAACAAGAGCGAAACTCCGTCTCAAAAAAAAAAAAAAAAAACTCATTCTACTTGTAAATCAGCTGGTAATAGTACATTTTTAAGGATCACAATGTAGTGCTATTTTGGAATAAATATCCTTAGTGATGATGATATTTTAGCATTTGTTGCATTGATTTTTATTTGTATTGAATTTTAGAAACCAATTTGCAAGTCAGTTTTAAGTGCTGAGGTACATATTATGCTGGATGACCAATATATCAAAACAATGCAGTTCTCATTTTTCAATTACAAAGAATTTTCTTTCAAATGTAGGAAGATTATAGACAGTGTACTGTGTACAAGTGCAGAACAGAGGTATTCAATCTTTTGGCTTCCCGGGCCACAGTAGAATAGGAATTACCTCGGCCCACACATAAAATACACTAACGCTAGTGAGAGCTGATGAACCAAAAAGTTCCAAAAAAGCATCTCATAATGTTTTGTTTTGTTTTGAGACGGAGTTTCGCTCTTGTTACCCAGGCTGGAGTGCAATGGTGCGATCTCGGCTCTCCGCAACCTCCGCCTCCTGGGTTCAGGCAGTTCTCCTGCCTCAGTCTCCTGAGTAGCTGTGATTACAGGCGTGAGCCACTGCGCCCGGCCAATGTTTTAAGAAAATTTATCAATTTGTTTTGGGCCACATTCAAAACCGTCCTGGGCTGCATGCAGCAGCCTGGTGGGTTGGATGAGCTTGTTGTAGAAGATCAACCAATTGTTCGTTGGCTAGAACTATCATTTCGAGGTAACTGAGCTCATGGTACTGTGGTATGTACATCTGGCTGTGACAGCAATGGCGGTGTGTATGGTTGCATTCTCGTATGAATATACTTAAACTCCTGATGGGACCGTGCCTCCTGGGTATGGGGATGTGAGCCTTTGTTTCTTTGTCTTGGAAGCAGTGGCAGGCTACCTCTCAGAGTCATGTCCCTGCACAGTTGCCCTCTACCTGCTCTACCTGTGCTATGACTCTGAGAAGTGACTGCTGAATTACCGGAAGCCTTTCTGCTGTGGGACCATGCCAGCCTGGCTTGGGATCGTGTTCACATAGGCAGCCGCTGGGAATCCTGCTGCTCTCTGCATTCTTATCTGCAAAGGCCAGCAGGACCAGTGTCAGTTGGCACAGTTTCAATGCTGAAGCACCCACTGAGTTACAGAAATGAACTGTTAGAACTTCATCTTGCCATTGTCTGTTGAATGTGGCCTAGAGAACACTGATCGCATTTCATCCCCATATGCTGTGCACAGAAGTATTCCCGGTGTGGTGTAGACCTCTTCATGTTTGAGAATTGGCACAACCTGGAACCCCATCTCCATCGGAAAGGGCGATTCCCCATCTTGTATACATAATTTGGCCAGCCTCTTTATTCCTAAATACTATGTGCCACGAGTGTAGCAAAATCTGGTGACCTACAAGGAAATGGCCATTTTTTTTTCTTGGACCCTCATTTGCCGATGCAGGGCCCTGTGTGGAGGATACAGAGTGACTGGGCGAAGGGACACCACAGTTTCTGGAGATCCACACCAAAAGGAAAGCCCACACAGTGCCAGGCTTGAAGGAGTGACCCCTCCTGGTTGTAATCTCAGACCCTGTTTTCCCACACCACACATTGCATGGAAGGACAGGAAAGGGAGATTTGGCCTCCTCTGTTTCTTACCGCCTTCTCTACGTCCACAGATACATAAAAAGGACATCATATACCACGATGTGTCCTCTCACATGCATCTGTGTGGTTGATGGTACCCCATGGTAAGGTAGATCATCAATATTTACCTTATTTTAGAGCCTGATCCTAGGTATCTCTCTGCCCTGGCTCACACAAGGCCAGAAATCTCAGAGCTACAAACCAGTGTGTTCACTTGCTTGATGCCTGCAGTATACACAGTACCGGATTTGGAGTCAGCAATCCAGGATCAGTGCCTTGGCTTTCCCACCTCCTGGTTATGTGACTTAACACAAGTCATCCTCACTCTCTCCTTTGCTTCCCTTTTCCGTTGATATGGTTTGGATCTGTGTCCCTGCCCAAATCTCACGTTGAGTTGTCATCCCCAGTGTTGGAGGTGGAGACTGCTGGGAGGTGACTGGATCACCGGGGCAGATTCTCAGGAGTGGTTAGCACCATCCTCTCAGTGCTGTTCTCATGGTAGTGAAGGCGTGAGTTCTCAGGAGAGCTGGTTGTTTGACAGAGTGTGGCACCTCCCTTCCTTGCTATCTCTCTTGCTCCTGCCGTGGCCACGTGACTTTCTGGCTCCCCCTTCGCCGTCCACCATGATTACAAGTTTCCTGAAACCTCCCGAGAAGTTGAGCAGATGCTGGCATCATGCTTCCCGTACAACCTGTGGAACCATGAGCCAATTAAGCATCTTTATAAATTACCCAGTCTCAGGTGTTTTATTCTAGCAATGCAAGAACAGACTAATGCAGCTGTGGAGCGTGGACATGACCTACCCTGAGTTCGTCACAGAATATTCAATGAGACAAAAGCTATACAACACATAAAAAGTATACTCCTTTCATATTATAAAAATTATACATTTACTATAGAAATTCAAAAAACAAAACTCTTTATAGTTCTGCCACCCAGATGATTATGTCCTTCCCGTCTTTTCTGTACATAATGTGTGTATGGATGTATGTGTGTGCATGTATTAGTACATACATATTTAATGTATTTAAAATATGCTGTTCTCTTCATCCTACCTGTGATTTACTTTTTGACTGATCACGTTGTTCCATGTTTTATTTGTTTATTGTGTGAGACAGAATCTCGCTCTGTTGCCCAGACTGGAGTGCAGTGGCACAATCTCAGCTCACTACAACCTCTGCCTCCCAGGTTCAAGCAGTTCTTTTGCCTAAGCCTCCCAAGTAGCTGAGCTTACAGTCACGTGCCACCACGCCCAGCTAACTTTTGTATTTTTAGTAGAGATGGGGTTTCACTATGTTGGCCAGGCTGGTCTCAAACTCCTGACCTCAGGTCAGCCCGCCTTGGCCTCCGAAATTGCTGGGATTACAGGCGTGAGTCACTGTGCTCAGCATGTTTTAAAATATTCTACAACTTTGTTGGTAGTGACTACTCTCGATATATGAATATAACATTGTTTATTTAACCAAATCTTTGCTTTTTGCAATTAGGAAGATGGCCATTGTTCTTATACAAATTAGTTCTTTTTACAGCTCCTAAAAGTAGACGTACATGATAAAAATAAATGTATCTTTAGAGTATTTAATACCTATTGACATACTGCCTTTTAGGCAAGTCTATCCATTTTTGCTCCCAATGTATGAGAATGCTTCTTCCTACACCTCTGCCAGCACTGAAAGTTGTTGTTGTTTTTAATCATGCCAATTGGAAAGATATAAGATGACTTTATTGTTTAATTTGAATTTCTTTGAATACTCGTAAGATTAAACTTTTTATTCATTTGTAATTGCATATACATAAGCATATATATTTATCCATATATGTAGTTATGTCACAAAATTTATGTTTATGCACTATCTACATATATATATATATATATATATATATATAGAGAGAGAGAGAGAGAGAGAGAGAGAGAGAGAGAGAGAGAGATTGAGAGAGAGAGAGATGGAGTCTTGTTCTGTTGCCAGGCTGGAATGCAGTGGCGAGATCGTGGCTGACTACAACCTCCACCTCCTGGGTTCAAGCAATTCTCCTGCCTCAGCCTCCTGAGTGCTGGGACTACAGGCATATGCCACCACGCCTGCCTAATTTTTGTATTTTTAGTAGAGACAGGGTTTCACCACGTTGGCCAGGATGGTCTCCATCTCCTGACCTCATGATCCGCCCATCTTGTCCTCGCAAAGTGCTGGGATTACAAGCATGAGCCACCATGTCCAGCCCACCATTTATATTTTATCTTATTCTGTGTTTTGTCTGTATGTATTCTGTACCCAGTTTTAGATTTAAATATTTATCTTAATGATTTATAAGTGTTCTTTATATATTATGGTTTTGAATCCTTCGACTTACATTGGGCAAATATATTCCCTGCATTGTTGTCTTTTAATATTTTGTCAAAAAAATAGAAAACTGTTTGATTTTTATATATTCAAATTTACCAATGTTTCTCTTTGTAATCTTACCTTAGCACCATGCTTAAAAAGATTTTCTCCTTTCTAAAGTTATACAACCTCAATAACTTCTTGGTTATGGTAATTCTACCATTGTTACCATTGCATGCGCACATGTGCACACAGATAGTGATGCCCGTTTGTCTGTTTCTGGACTTTTAATTCATATTTATTCAACATTCATATGTCTGTTTATTAATATTCCAGAACAGTACCACTTAAAATACCTTGACTTTATGATCTGTTTTTATAACTGGTAGGACAAGTTCTGTCCCCAACCCCATCCCAGACTTTTATTCTGTTTGTTTAAAATGTTCTTGCCTGGTTTTAAATTTTTAATCATCTAGATGCACTTTGATTTCCTTTTGTCAAGACTTAGAAGGAATAGATTTGAGATTTCA